ACAAACAGTATAAGCAGAAAGCCTCACCGAAAAGTTACAAAGCTCAAATCACAATTCTCGCTAATCCAGGGTTAGATTAATCGGGCTTTGAACAACCCGGCCTGGCATTGCATTCATTGCCTCGTTTTCAAATTTGTCAAAAGAAATCCCGCTTGGCTCTGATCAGTTTCCATTGAATCTCTCGGTGATCAATAGAGCTTTCAATCTCTGATGCCTCACCTATTCTAACTAAAAACACCTTTGCATACAGTTCTCCACCTATTTTTCCGGTATTTCAGTGGACTTTCTGTAGCTTACGCTATCGTCGACAAGATGAGAGATGTCAAAGACCGGGGACGTACTCCCTTATATGGGCTATATCAGGAGCCATAATCGCAGCTTTTGGTCATAAATGGGGTTAGGGTTTTGGGAAGACCCCGACCCAGTTTTTAAATTTTCTTAATATCCTAAAATTTCTAAATATCTCAGAAACTTCTAAATATTCCAAAAAGATATCCGGATATTTGCGGAAGGCCTGGTGAAGGACAATAGAGTTATCTCGACTGGACAGTTGCTGGAGTCCGGAATGTCAGAAAATGCGTTGTTAGTTGCAGTCGATATTTAGCACTTCAGCGCGTACCTTGTCTTGGCTTTGTTAATTCTTTTTCATGCATGCAGCTTTCATTAGCAAACTCGTTTACTTGACTGCTTGTTTACTTTCTTGCTCGCTTGTTTAGCTACCTGCTTGCTTACTTACCAGCTTGAAATCATTTGCGTGTATCCACTGTTGTGTTTTTAGCGCACTTTGTTGCGGAAACCGAGGTTATTATACGCGATTTTCGGCTTCTGCTCATTTTTGAGAAGCCACTTGGCCGCGTGAAATTATATCAACTCAACTCTAAACTCGTGCGAAAATATACTGACATTAATCCCAAAACAACCAAAAAGCAGTCTCTGAATAACAGTAAGCAAGCAGTAAGTTGATAGAAGAAATCCGAATTACAAGTCTTAGGCTAGACGAAGCAACTCTGGCTAATTCGTGAGTAAGCATGTTGCATGTGAAAACTCGTACGGTTTAAATTAGCTCTTAGAAAACGATTTCGAATATCAGCCACTTCTGCCCACTTCTGTACTAGTCTTCCTGTCAAACGGCATATATTCAAGCAATACCCGCGGCTCCGCCCACGATCAAATGAGCCCTCAGTCTATGTCAGAGAGGAACAGATGTACTTCCATAAATAATAATAATCCTAAATATAAACCGACCAGCTGATATTTAGCTTTCTTATGACATTCTCGAGGAATGCTCAGCCGGAATTTAATCAAGTACGATTAGTGTCATGTCTCTTTTTTCAGGGAGTTCGAGCGAGTATGAGAGCGCGCGCGTGAGATCACGCATCATGCGAGGTAATCGTTTTGCGCGCGCTAGCGTGTTCAGCTGACAGAAATGACAGCTGAAATAAGAGTTTAAGTAATTCACTTAATTAATACCCACATATAGGCAATTGTCACTTCTGGCTAACCCGAGAGGTTTGAACATTTAACCACGTAGTTTTGCATGTTTGAAAACTACAAACACATACTTCATGAAATGGCGGTGATATTTTATTTTGCTTCCGTCTCGCCTTACTTCATTCTCTTCCTCTGATCCGTTTCTTCTTTATGCTACTGAAGCGGACAAGCTGTCGCGGCGGTCAAAGCAAGTTTCTTTCGAGTTTTTCCGTTTTTGCTCACGGTTCGCAACTCACAGTGATAAGTAGAAAAAAAAGAAAAAAACTGTAGAACCAGGGTAGCTTTACTTTAAACCAGTCCGGCTGTCTTTTCCGGCTCGGAAAAACGATTGTTGCGGGAGCGGCCATTCGAGTCATTAATCTAATCTGCGATCAGCCGATCTTTTTTGACCTGCCCACGTTCGCCGAACTGAAAGAACGTCTGATCGCAGGTTATCACCAATCTCAATGTCCAAATTACGAAAGAGAGAAAATTAGCGATATTTACGGTATTGTTTTAAAATAAACTACCTAAAAATAAGTCACCGTAATCCAGGATTACAAGTCTGGCGACATAGACACCACATCAACACAATCCAGCACTGTGATCATCGTACTGTGATCGAACACCGAGGCCCATTCGAATTCTTGGAACGGCCCTTTCTCAAATTGACGAACTTTGACTATGGATGATAAAAGACATAATCAAGGAACAGCTTAAGTTTGTTTGAGGCGGGAAAAGTTGATTTTTACTCGAATCTAGTTGGTAGATGCAAATACTTCTTTATGGAAATGTTTAGTCTCGCGTGACAGTTGTTTTTCAACACTTCACACGACCACGAACTCTCCTCCGCGAAGAGATCATACAGGGTAGGGTGAGGAATGGAATGTTACAGAACAATATTAATAGAAATGCCATGATATTTTTGGCGTGTCAATCCACGAGTCCTTTTAATAATTCGGAAATGGGTTTCTCGTATTTGGTGTATACTTGTACAGAAGGTCGAAAATTTGCCACAATCAGGCCTCGGTTGTTCGGAGGCTGGACAACGCTATCCACCGGACGAATCGCTATCCAGTGGATACTGAATAGCAAAAGAAATCACCCTATACGCTGGATAGTGATTTATCCGGCGGATAGCGTTATCCGTCTGTCGAACAACCCGGGCCAAGTCAACAAATGTGGTATTTAATCAGTGCAAAAGACGTGGACGCGAATTCTTGCCACATATGTATTCCGAACTAAACTGGCCAAACCTATATCGTCCTCTCTTGACTCTGGTTCTTGTTTTCGCGGGTACCTCTTATCTAACGATGTTAAATAAAAAACTGCAAAAGAAGTGCCGCGAATCAGATTTGATCTAAAATGTCTCCGACCTTTTTTTTTTCCGTTCACAAACTCTTCAATTTGACATTACTTGAAAAGTAACAACGCATGCTCAACCGCCCGATAATAGTAAGTGAAAAAATTTGAAATCATAGACGTAATAAAGCAGTGCTGTATTTTTAGAAACAGCAATGCATAATTGATCAGTGATTCGAAGGCTACGTTCTCCACTAAAATGTGGTTACTTAAAGAGATGTCTGCTCATAATTTTTATAACTCATTCATAATTTTCTTTCCTTTTTCTCCCAGCGCGCTGACGTTTCCAGTGAGACCTACACTCCCCAATAACACCAATCTTACTGATATATTCACTGTACATTGGCAACCTTTTCACGATATTTGCATTTTGAAGTAATTCAGCGCCGTATTTCCTCCCGAATATCACTCTTCAACTGCTTCAGTAACAAATGAAGTTGCAGCTGTGGACTATGGGTAAAACAGGCACGAGTTGAACCAATATCAAACAAACAAACTTTCTCTTGTGATCCATAACAACTGTCCCCAGACCACCCCTGTGAAGTGTGATCAAAGTGTTCCAAACGACCGTTCATAATATATTCAGTCTAGATAAGACCAATGTACACATTAAATTTCAATCAGGCTGGATCTCGTTTTACTGCCCGCTGCGAATAAAAAGTCAATAATATTTTTGGCAGTGAAACTTTGCCTTGGTTACATTTTTGTCCGTTTTTCTATTGCATAGAATATTCACCTTTTACTTCCGTAACAATTCCAATCGTTTTAAGTTGGTTTTTCATTGCCTGCGAACAGGCTCCCGGCGAGGACGGAAAATTTTCTCCTCGCTTCAATTTGTTTTCTTAAATTATGACTGACTGTTATTTGCGAATGATTAAAAATTAATTTGTGTACGCACTGTGCACGATATCCATCATTTCTGAAACAGCAATTTGGCGTGATGCCACAAAATGCGATAAATGAGGAAAAGAAATAAATTAAGGCCAATATTTATGTTTGGGGGCAATGCTGGCAATCCATCAACAAGGAGGAAATCGATAAGAAAACCGAGAGTGCAAAAAAGCAAGATACATGCGATTGATGGAAAAGATAAAAAGCTATAAACTGCTCGAAAGAATAAAGACATCTGAGAGCAGTCTACTCAAAGCTAAAAGGTGTTAAGGCCTGAATAACAGACAACGTCTATGAGGAAAACGATTGAAAAAATAAAAATAAAAAAATAACATAAAAGGAAAACAAGGTTTCCCTCGGGAAAATTTTACTGCCTTCAAATTAATCAAACTTTTCCAACCCACGTTATAATATTTTGTTTATTGTCCATTCCCAAGTCTCAGAGACTTGTAGGATAAAAGATGATTTCTCCCATATCCCTCTTAGCTCCAGTCGTTATTCTTCTGTTTCTCAGCGGCACATCAAAGGCTCAAAGTTCTGTACCGTTACTTACTCATTCTTAATCTTTGCGAGGGCGTGATCAAATGCCGAGCTCGCTGTGAGTCACTCAAGCTTGGCCTCAGAGGCATTGTATCTGGAATTTTCAGTCTATTGTTTACAACTGCATCATAACAATTATTTTTCGTTTTGTTTATGACGGACAAATCTCTTTCTTTAGTTTTGGGCGTGGGAAAAATTCTGTGAATGTCATTACGTTATCTAACAAGCTAGTTAAAACGAAACAGAAATTTCTCTCGTCTTGATCGCCCAGTCAGTAGTTATTTCGCTTTGAAAGCAACGAAGGATGGGTTCGGTCGAGATCGGAATGTAATATGGAATGCAAAAAGACAGTGAATGCCAATAAATGAACGCGTTAATGAATTCCCAAAAGGCGCCGAAAGCAGGTAACGATTGGTGGACAATACGTCGGAAGTGGGAAGGGTCGGAACACAACGGACAGTTCAAGTGGTTGGCAGAAAAGAAACTTCTTTACAAGACTTGAATCTGTTGACTACTGTACACAAATATAACGACCTTTTGCCTAGTTTATGATCAATCGACCCATGCAATGATAGATCAGGATAAAAAGTATTAAAATCAGCTTGAATTCAAGCCTCAATAAAAAACTTTGAAGTGCATTTCAAATACCCCGCTAGCATTCCTGCTCCGTGACTGCAGTGTTAATTCGGTATGATGATTGACGGCTCTTTCATCAAGCCGCACATGATTGGTTAGTTGACTGAATATCGCATTATTCTCTCGCGTCGGGAAGGAAAAACTGCTACTTTCCGTTTGGCTGGCAAATTCTTCTTCGGTTATAGCGAAGAAGTGAAACCCTATTTTTACAGTGTTTTCGGAGAATCTGGGTTTGCCAATGTTTTGTGATCGGTGAGAATAATTCAACGTTTGAAAGGATCAAGAAATCAAGGCTTTTGGAACTCAAGCCCGCAACAACGGAACGCCGAGTGCAGTAAACATGCGAGGCATTAACGTCGTTAGTTTATTCCTCTGTAGCTTCTGTTTATTGCACACAGCTATTGGACAGTCCTTTGATGTAAGAGTTAATCTAGTAGAAGGCAAGAGCGCTGGGCATCAAGTTCATTCATTCCCTACGCCTGCGAGTAATCAGATGTACACGTTTTTTCCGGCGCAAGATGCCGATTCGAGAGCTGCTCTAACCCTGTTTCAAATTTCCGAACAAGGGGTCGTTACAACCACAAAACCGATCGATTACGAGACTGGAGAAAAAAACTACTACGACTTAGTCGCCATTCGGCGTAATCGTGGCGATAAAGAAGGAGGTACTCCATTTAGTATTCGAATCAGCATAACAGATACGAACAACTTTAGTCCGACTTTCCCACAAAACCTCTATCATGGAAGAGTGACGGAAGGTTCTCCTGCAAACACTATTGTTATGGGTTTGGAAAATTGCTTCGCTGAAGACAGGGATACTGTAGGTAGCATATCTTATTCCATAAGTGGTGGAAACGAGAATGGGTACTTTAAGGCGGAGAAGGCAATGGCAGGCAACCGTGCTTTTCTTGTTTTGAAGACTACCAATACCTTTGACCAACTCCGAAGGGATGTCATTCCTGAAGTTAACCTGACCGTGCGTGCAAACGATGGTCTTCGTTACGGAACAGCAAGAGTCACCGTCAAAATTCTCGACGCTAACAACAACTTTCCAGTGTTTGACGAGAGCAGATACACGGCCACGATCGGCGAGGACACTACTCTCCTGACATCTGTGCTACGAGTTCGCGCGACTGACCTAGATGAAGGTACCAATGGCGGGGTCTATTACTACCTTAAAGGATCGTCACCGTGGTTTTCCGTCGATGCCATCACTGGAGTCGTCAAAGTGGTTAGTCAGCTACCCAATCAAGCAGTGGTCACGATGGATGTCATAGCTAGAGACAGGGGTACCCCAAGTAACCAAGTGGAAGTCGACGTGAGCATAAACATAGAACTTATCGCTAATTACCCTCTACCTGATTCTCCCAACCCCGGAGTCAACACGCCACCGATTTTCCCAGAAGAGAGCTACTCTGCAAATGTACGCGAAGATTTTCCCGTTGGTGCTGCTCTTCTTATCATCCATGCGGTTGATCGTGATCCCCCTGGACGCAACCGGCGTTTGCGATACAGTTTAAGTGGAGACAACGCTTTCGCAATTGGTTCGACTAGTGGTGTGGTTACTCTGAGGAACCAGTTGAACTTTGCAATTAAAAACAAGTATGACCTTAATATCGTTGCAACTGATGGAGGAGTAAGTCCACAAAGTACCACAGCTACTTTGACCATTTTAGTGCAGGAGGTGGACAAAAATCGCCACGCTCCCGTGTTTCAGTCTTCAACAGCAAATAAGCAACAACGTGCAGTTACAGTCAGAGAGAACAGTGCTGCTGATACAAAGGTTGGTAATTCTATCAGTGCAACTGATGCTGATGGCACTCAAAGGCCAGAAGGCCAGGTGGTTTTCTCTATTGCCTCTGGATCAGGTTTACCATATTTTAAAATTGACAAGAACAGTGGTGATTTACGAACTGTTACTGTGCTTGATAATGAAAAGCAAGCTCAGTATAACCTGCTGATTGAGGCTCGTGACAAAGCCCTTTATCCTCTCTATTCCCACTTGTACATGATGATTACAGTTCAAGGTGAAGATGACAACAACCCAGACTTCTCTCAGCCTGTATACTACGCCAATGTACCTGGAAAAGCTCCTGCAAACACCTTTGTGACGCAAATCCATGCCACTGACAAAGATGGGGACCCAGTCTCATATTCAATTGAAAACCCTGGCAATGCTTTCATTATCCAGACAGATTCTGGAGTTATTTCAACACGTAGAATGCTAGATCCTGCTAATGAGGAGAGAAGTTTTTCACTTTCTGTTCGGGCCACTTCAAGAGCCAAGGAATCGCAGGCTCAAGTCATTGTGACTGTCATAAGTGAAGAGAACTCTCCTCCAACATTTGTGAACCTCCCTTATTCTGCCACTGTGCCCGAGAACTTGGGAAAAATCGAGAGCCTGTTGTGTTTAGCTGCCAAAGACAGTCAAGGCAAAACTGTGAAGTATGGACTTGTTAGTAACACTGATGGCAAGTTTTCTGTGGATGAAAAATCTGGTAAGAACAAACTTCAGTCTTGTAAAGATTGTTTGAGTACTGTGATACTACTGAAACCATGTTCTGTTGCTCTTTTTTGTATATTACCACAACCAGATAAGTGTTACATTTGAGTGCCCTAACATTTGTTTTGTTTTCAATTTGTGTGGTATTAATGTATTTGGATTGTTATGAGAAAAAAAACATTTATTGAGTCCAAAATGTAACTTGTGTAAAGGAAGAAATTCCATAGGTTACGTAAACACAGAAATCTTTGGGGTTGCTACTTTCAGGAAAAAGTCAGGGAAAATAAAACTTTTCTCAAGGTCAGGGTAAAGTTCAGGAGCTTCTACTTTTAAATCCTTAAAGTCAGTGAAAAGTCAGGGAATTCAAGGTTTTCTAAAGTTTTGTGTCAGGTAGTGAAGGATACATTGTATGATTTTGAGTGATTTTGGAGTGGAAACCTTTCAGGTTGCTTACCTTTGTGGCTTTAATTAACTCTTTTGTAGCCAACTTTTCTCCTTGGTCGTGATTTTTTACATGTATTTCTTACCATTTAGGACGCTTCACTGTCACTGGCTCATTGGACTATGAGTCTTATACAGGAGGTGTGTATCAAGTCCAAGCGTTAAGTGGTCCCCTACAAGTGGCTACTGAAAAAGTCACCATTCAAGTCACGGATACAAGGGATCCACCAAGGTTCAGCCGAAGCAAATACACGTTCCAGATAAACGAAGATGTTGCTCCTGGCACTACAGTGACTAAGATCAATGGGGATGGTTCCTCAGGTGGATTGGTCATTAATGATGCAGACACGCCAAAGACACAGTTTGACTGTACGATTGAAAACATTAAATCTTTAGATGTTGTAAATCACTTCAAGGTAGAATTAGATTCCAGCAATAACATTGGTGAATGTAAACTTGTCACTCAGTCTTCATTTGATCACTTTGATACCCCCAAGTTTACATTTGAAGTACGAGCTACAGATGTGAATTATCGAAACATGTATGCATCGGCTGAGGTGGAGATCGAGATAGTAGACAAGAACAATCATAACCCAGAGTTTTCGCAATCCGACTATGCGACTTCTGTAAGCAGTAACTTTCCAGTGAGAAATTCAATCTTAAAAATCACGGCAACAGACAAGGATGCTGGCTCATTTGGAGAAATCACATATCAGCTACTTGATTTTGAAGACAGAAACAGGTAATTCAGTTTTCATGTGTCTTTTTACTATTTTGTGCTTTCTAACGAACATGTGGAAAAGGAATGATCATTAAGGTGGCTGCTCATAGTTTTGTGACTGCATGCATATTGAGGACCAAAGCGTTTCTTAGTGATCTGAGCAAGCTCAAAGGAAAATGTCAGTGTTGAGCAATATTTTATGACATTAGCATGACTGCAAAAAGCAAAACTGATGTCCAGTGAGTTTTTTTTGGCATTTCCTTAAGTGAAATTCCATGAAATTTGGTAGACTGGTAATAAATATTTAACTTTAATTTAGTTGGAACTCGTTTTTTAGGAAAATCCACCTGATCAGTTTTTCTGCAGCAGGAAAAGACATACATTTGCAGAATTGAAAAAAGTTGCAGTACAAAGCTTAGTTTTCTCGTGTAAAATTTGTATCTCACTGGATTTGATATAACTGTGAAAATTTTGGAAGATTTTATCCAGGAAATTCAAGAAAATCACAAATAAAGCCATATCAATTGCAAGAAATGACATTGGTTTGGGCATTTTTAATAATATTATTCAAGACTATAAAAGCCAAGATTTTAAGAGAGATGATTGTGAAACACTAATTACTGGTACGTTTGATATGTTTGAGAGAACTGGGTGTAAAAACGAATGCAAAACCAGCTTTTAAGATATAACACCAGCATGCGCAAAGCAAATGATGATTACCCTATAAAATCCACCTCAAACCATGTAAACGTGTCATGATCTAATTACTTTTTTTGTTTTACAGGTTTAGTATTGATTCCAGCACTGGTGTTTTAACTAGTGCCAATTCACTGGCTACCAAGAAGTACCAACTACTTGTTCAGGCATCAGATAGAGGTAAGCTGATTGCTTAACAAACACTGGCCAGTGTTCTGCTTTGCTTTGTTCTAAGAGAATACTAAGAGCATGAAGCTAGGAAGTGTAAAGAAACATGCTTGACACAAATAAGTGTGTTTCTCTGCTTGCCCTCTCTTCACAAATGCTTTTTAACAGCCAGAATGATTAGCGTATTAAAGGATTACTATTCTGTTTTATAATTAATTTATTTTCTAGCTTTTATGTTTTTTGACAATACTTTGTACATCTTTTTTTTTTTTTTTTTAAACTAGAAGATCTAGACGAGTAGCAGAACATTTAATGCAAATTGTAATTTTTCTGGCTAACAAACCCTGGATAAAGTGCATTAATCATCAGCTTTGTAATTTCATGGTACAATTCTTTGTGAAGTATTAAGGTCGGCACACACGAGGGGGTTAGTCCCTGTGACTGGTCCCTGTAACAAGTCGTAGAGACAAGTCCCATCGTGTGAACTGGCCATTTATTCTTCAAAATTTACTTGCAGTAGTAGTCCCACAATTTCAAACCAGTTTGAATCTTTGGGACAAGTCCCTGCGACTTGTTCCTCAATATGTTTTGTATGATCTGTTCAAGGGGCAAGTCCCTGCAACCAGTCCTCTTCAGGTGACTAGTTGTAGGGACTAGTGGCAGGGACTAGTCTCTCGTGTGTGCAGACCTTTATGATTGAATGGCATCTCTTAACACTTGAATTCCTTGAAGGGTTTGGTTGTGGGAATGAACATCTGTGAGACTAATCATGTGGACACGCTGAACCCGTCTACAGCAGTCATGTTTGCCTTTCTAATACTAAGCAAGTTTATCAAGGTTTATTGAACCCAATCTTTGTAGAATCATTGTCTTGGTTGCATCACAGGTGTGCATCACTGAATACACACTCATGTATACAAAGTTTTTATAGCACACTTTGCTAACTATCTCATAACATGAACTATACCACAAACTTGATTTCCTTTGTTTTGAGAATTTTCGATATTGTATTTCTAACAACTAATGTGTTGTTTTTCTTGAATTCTTTTCAGCACAAAACAACAATGATGTAAGAAGGAGTACTGTTTCAGTGTATGTGTATGTCTACGCTCCTGGAACTACAGTCATTCAATTTAACTCAGCAAGCTATTCAAAGATCTTGCCAGAAACTTCAGCCGTAAACACTCCCGTGTTCACTGTATCTGCTAAGGGCCCTGATAAAATTACGTATAAAATCGTTGGTGGAAATACAAATAGCGCATTTAAGATATCACAAAATACTGGACTAGTTAGTGTTGCTAGTTCTATTGATCGTGAAAGCAAATCATCATATCAGTTGGTTATCCGTGCAGAGACGGCTAATTTGGCTAAAGAAGTGACTACTACCATTAACATTGGCGATGCAAATGATAACAAACCAAGGATCACTTTCTTGAAAGACCCCAAAAACATTGCAGTTGAAGACTACTCACCAAGGGGAAGTTTTGTGATAAAGGTAAGTTGCATTCTAGAAACCTACGTGTAATATATTCAATAAATTAGTGTTAAAGACGCAACGAAGAGACCAACTCTTGACTGTTCAAGAGGTCTCTTTGTCGTGTCTTTAACACTAATTTACCAATTCCTATTGAGACATCGTATCCTGTGGATCCTCTTACTGGGAGTTTGTCATTAGGTAAACCAATTTTACACTGTGTAATATCAATATATAGGTCTGGAGAAAATTACCTCTGACAGCATTTACCTCTAAATTGAACGTACATGCAATTGTCATGTCATGGTTTAAATTTATTTTTGAAATTTCTCAGGCTGTTTGGCTTTTTTATTTTGTGGTAGTAATGACTGTGGGTGGGAGAAATGAAAATGATATTTGACTTTTTGAGAATTTCAAATCAAAAGCAATCATATTTACCACAACAGCACTTGTGTGCTTCAAGAGCAAAGTTGTTTTGACTCTTTTTGTGACCTTGTTTCAAACTGAGTGCCGACATTTGAAACGGAATATACTTTTGTAAATTAGCCAAAGCTGTTCAATTTAGTGCCAAGCAGACCCATTTTTTGAGACAATTTAATTTCACTTTGTTTTGTTTGGTTAGTGCACAGACCCAAGGTGACTTTATCTAAAGCTGCCGGTGAAATTGATAACTGGAAAATAAACAATAGGATATTTAGCCCTATTCAGAATTAAGTAATCCATGAGTAATTTATTGATGAGTAAACAGTGAGTAATGGATGAGTAATCAGTTGTGATCAACTGATTAGTCATTGACTATCTCATTGATGTTATTGTGATAATTTATTTGCTGGGCACCTGAAACTATTTGCGTTGCTGTTATAGGTGACTGCTATTGACCGGGACGTTGGTGATAATGGAGCAGTTACGTACAGCATCACCACCCAGTCCACACCATTTCAGATAGACCAGAATACAGGTGTTATTACAGCCTCAAGGGAAATAAGGTAACACTGAAACAAACTAATCGGCGATTAGAGAAATGTGTTCATGCAAAAGGTGCATGGTACCAGGGTCCGGGAAATGTTGTTTAAAAAGTCTGAAGTGATCAGTTTTAGAGTTATCTCAGTACCTTTCAGGCTCAGGGCTCAAAATTAATGACCAACTGGTGGCATATGCGACTAGATTTTTGGCCGTGCACCTAAAAAATCGTGTGGATATACTAGCGCACCTTAAAAGCCAAAGGACAGTGCAACCGACTGACTGACTTCTCTAGTGCTTCCTCACCTGACCATATACTAATGTACTCCGATTTACAAGGCAAAAACAGAAGCTGCAAACAATAAATATAAATACTAGGGTATCTAAAAAATAGTAATGCTGCATCACATTCTGTTGATAGTGACATATTTTCCGCAGTGATTCATCTACCTGTGCATTCCAAGACTTCCAGTAACCTTTATTTCTTAAAGTAGTGTCAAATTATGGGGAATCTGTCCTTGTATGCATCAACTTCATGCATGATGATGCATCAACAGTAAGGTGTGACAAGGGATCATGACAAAAAAGCACACAGTGATCTGAACTATGTTTGGACATAAAACAATACATAACCTGCAAAAACAGGGAAAAAAATCCAGCGAGCAAAGCGAGCCATTTAGTGCAAAATAAAGAATTCCGCAAGCGTAGTCTGCGAGTGAAGCGAGTGGGAGTGGGGGAGCCTATAGACATTGTTTTTGATGCGCTGTTCCGCCCCTTTGTGATTAGCCTGTTACAAATCCGTTAGTATAGGTAATCATACGGTTTCGAGTTCAATTTGGAATTAATTTGCACGACTGAGTTTTTCAAAAAGCTGAAATTGCACGAGCCGCTTCGGCGA